GGAAACCCTTTTGGACGGTCTTACTCTGTCCTAGAAGGTCTTCCCAGGTTTTCTAAATCTGAATCGACTTAGTCACACAAAGGGAACTCCCTGAACATTTCCAAGACGAAGACGGACATCAAAGTGGGCGAGACTGAGATGTGAAGAGAAGGCACCTGACAGAACGGCACAGGCAAAGGCAGGTGGGCTGGAAGCACAGGCACGTCGTCACAGCAGCAGTGGCTGCAGCAGAGAAAGAGGGCAGGGACCCAGCAATGTCTGCCGTACACCGAACCTGGGCAAAACCGACGAAGGCAGTGAAGAGGTGCCAATGCTGACCTCTGGGGTGGGAGCTGGCCAGCAAAGGCACTCGGTGTTCTCTTCTGGACTGTTGTGTGTGCCATCGAGTCAGAAGCAACTCAGAGCTGAGCCGCCAGCAAGTTTTCAGAGGCTGTAAATCACACTGGTGGAGACTGCCCACCTACTGTGGCGCAGATGGTGTATTCAACTGCCTGTTTCCGGGTTGGCAATGACCTCCAGACTGGTGGCCCAGTGTTAAGGAGCTGTGCTGCCAACCCAAAGGCCCTCAGTTCTAACCCACAAGCTGCTCCATGGGAGAAAATTGGGCAGTTTCCTCTCATGTGATCTACTGCTTCTGAAAACCTGCTGGAGAATCAGCTACGGGTCAGTTTTAATTCAACAGTACATAACATACAGTAACTTAACTCCTCACCCACTGGGACACCAGAGCTCCATTTTTCAAACATTAGAATCCTAAAGATCTTGTTGTGGTGCTCAAATATTTTATAAATTCTAGATGTAAGTCCCTTATCTGACATGTCATTACCAAACACTTTTTCCCAGTCTGTGTCTTCCCTTTTTACCCTGCTGGAGAAGTTTTGGATGTGCGTCCCATTCATCTATTTTATCTTCTCCTGGCTGTAAATTTTTCAGGATACTTGGAAGACTCTTTATGTTGTGGATTAGGACTACTAAAGTTCTTCCAAGCTTTTCTTTAATGAAGTTTATAGTCCTGGGTTTTAGTCCTAGGTCCATGATCCACCTTGAGTTGGTTTTTGTATATGAAGTGAGGTGTGGATCTTGCTTAATTCTTCTGCAGATAGTTTTCCAAATTGGCCAACACCATTTGTTAAAAAGGTTGTCATTAGCGAGCTCTGGTGGCCTAATGGCAAGAAGCTGCACTGCGATCCCAGAGGTGAGCAGTTCAAATCCACCAGATGCTTTGCTGGAGAAGGAGGAACAATCTCCTCCTGTACCAGTCAAATCTGATTTGACGGTACACACACACACACACACACATAAGAAAAATAAAGTAAATAAGTAAATAAATAAATAAAATGAAAAGGCTGTCATTTCCCCACCTAACTTATTTCATCTCCTTGTCAAAAATCAGTTGACCATAAACAGATGGGCAGATTTCCAGGTTCTCAATTCTATTCTATTGATCTATGTGTCTGTCATTGTACCAGTACCATGCTGTCTTGACTACCATGGCAGTGTAGTAGGATTTGAAATCAGGGAGTGAGATGCCTCCCACCTTTTTTCTATTTTTAAGGAGTGCTTTGTTTATTCTTTCCATTCCAAATGAAGCTGGAGATTGCCTTTTCCATCTCGTTAAAGAATGGATTCATATTTGTATTGGGATTGCATAAACGTGTAAATTAAATGAACATGTAAAATTGCATTAAACATGTAAATTGCCTTTGGTAGTATTGCCATTTTCACAAGACTGAGTCTTCCTATCCATGAGCAAGGAATATTCTTCCACTTCTCCAGGTCTCTTTTTGTTTCTTGTAGTAATGTTTTATAATTTTTTAATAGATCCTTTGTGCTTCTAGTTATATTTACTCCCAAATATTTTATCTTGTGATTAGCTATTGTGAAGGATATTGTTTGACCCAGCAATTCCACTACTGGGAATATACCCTAAAGAGACAATAACCGACATCCAAGCAGATAAATGCACACCCAGGTTTATCGCGGCTTTGTTCACAATAGCAAGAAGTTGGAAACAACCTAATGTCCATCAATACACGAATGGATAGAGAAGCTATGGTATATTCACACAATGGAATACTATGCTGCATTGAAAAACAAGGAACTCATGAAATATTATTCAAAATGGGTGATCCTGGAGGACATTATGCTGAGTGAAATATCTCAGTCACAAAGGGACAAATGCTGTATGGTGCCACTGTTGTAGAATGGGGCTGACATCAGGGTGGGGGTAAGACTGAGAAAAACTGGATCAATTCTGTTTACTGCATTGAAGCCGATGAGGGAGAGAACAGTTTAAAAGTAATATATTTTAGGGCATTATGATTATCATAAGAGTTTGGAATGAGGGCTACAGAGTGGAGTATACTCAGGGTGGGGGTGGGAGAGTGTGTGGGGACTGTATACCAATGAAGGAGTTTTTCTTTTGCTTTTCAAGGAGAAGAGCGAACTGGGGGTGGAGATGGGGTGGGCAGGGAGAAAAGTGCAACAATGAATGAATAGAAATCCAAAATCTCTGTAGATGTTCATTGAAATTAATAATAAAATAAATAAAAAAAGAATCCTAAAGATCACCAGGGACAGAGGTCAGGCTCCCCATCCAGAGTCTTCAACTCGGTAAGTCAAGGTGGTCACCAGCCTACTATGACAATGGCTTTGAAAGACCCTTCCAGCCACTAGTTCCAGGACCTGGATTCTTGTGCTCCTGCAGAAGGCTGTCCAGGCTCCCACACCCACCTCTGACCACAGTGGATATTCCTGGGCTCACGGGCTGTACTGGCGGAGGCGGGGGGAGCCCCTTTAATGCTGGCAGGGGTGGGGGGGTGGACAGGAATACAGGAATGGAGTGCTACAGAGAGACAGGCAAGGCACAGACTCTCTCTACAGATGTGGGGCATCCTCAGGACAGGTGAAAGCCGAATAAAGAGTATCCTAAGACATAAGAGGAAAAAGATATTCTGGGACAAAGCAGAGCTCTGTGAAGTCATATTCAGTGTGGTTAAGATGTAAGGTGCCTTTAGGGGAAAGATGAGAGGCGAGGGCCAGAAAGGAGGGCCAGGCTCAGAGCCATCACAAGAAACTGGGGTTTCACACCACAGGCAACAAGGAAGAACTCTGCAGGCCCCTGGCAGCTGCTCCTCTTCTGGGCACAAGCACAAAAGGTGCTAGTCTTGCCTCACATGCCCACTTCCAACTACATATGCAGGGGGGCTCTGGTGGTCTAGGGGTAGGATGTGCTGCCAACCCAAAGGCATGTAGTTTGGACCCACCAGCTGCTCTGTGGGAGAAAGATGGGCAGTCCCCTCCTGTGTGCTTTACTGCCTCTGAAAACCTGCTGGAGAGTGGACAGTCAGCCCTAACGTCCAGAGCATCAGCTTCAATGCACAGAGCTCTAACCTACAGAGGGTCAGCCCTGACCTCCAGAGCGTCAGCCCTAACCAAGAGGGTCAGCTCTAACCTAAAAAAGTTAGCTCTAAAGGTCGGTTCTAACTCAGTGGTACGTAACAACCATCACCACTCCTTAAGGTAGCTCTTGGTGGCCTAGTGGACTAAGAAGTTGCAATATCAACTCAAGCTCTGGTGGCCCTAGTGGCCAAAAGCTGTACTGCAATTCCAAAAGCACGCGGTTCAATCTGCCTCTGAAAACCCGCTGGAGAATCAGCTATAGGTTGGTTCTGACTTGATGGTGAAAACAATAACAACTTTCAACCCAAAGGCACAAGGTTGGAATCCACAAGTTTCTCCCTGAGAGAAAACTGGACATCTCCTCACAATCTATTTACAGCTTTTAAAATCTCACTGGAGAGGTAGCTCTTCGTTGATTCCAACTCAATGGCAATGAGTTTGAGTATCTGTTGGCAACGTTTTTAGAAAGTTATACCACTAAGTCAAAGGTCACATGTTTCTAAGTTTAACTCCACCAGCAGCTCCACGGGAGTAAGATGGACAATCTCCTCCTGTGTGATTCACAGCGTCAGAAACCCTCTACAGAGTCAGCTACCAGTTCTCAGTAAACAGCAATGAGTTGTTGTATTTATTGACCACGATGCAAGAGCGCTCTGGTGGTCTTGAACTGCTAATCCCAAGACAGCTACTCTGGTGGTTCAAATCGACCAGAAGCTCCCTGAGAAAAAGGTGAGCAATATCCTCCCATGCACTCAGAAACGCAATGGAGCGTCAGCTAGGAATCAGTTCTGACTCAAATGCAATGAGAGATAGAGCTCAGTCTTCATGAAAAAAATCTGATGCAACCACTGGAGCAAAAAGAGACAAACAATGTGATCCCGGCAATTTCTTCAAAGGCATGATCTCAATCTCTGACAAGCTGAGCCAGGTTACGAAATTAGAAGATGAGGAGTTGAGCCCAGAGGCCGTCTGATTTAGCCTCAGAGACTTCGGGAGTTCAGCTCTCCCCAGAACATATCTCCATTTCTTACAGCTTTAAGAGGAACCTGTGGCTCCTCAAAACAGGTGACCCCTAAGGGCAAGGAAGGGGGCACATGAGGGGATGAGCTCGTTGAGTGGTCGGGCTTGCACAGCTACCACAGAACAAGCTAAAGCGCAATGTCTCTACAACTTTGGCACCTGCGCCAACCTCACCAGGCCCCTCCCACAGACTCTGCTCAGGATGGTAATTGGTGCTTTCAAATGACCTAGCCCACTGTCAAAAGGCAAAGACTGAAGAGAATAAAAACAGATGCCAGGTCTGAAGGCACCGAGTCCCGCAATGCCAGCAGAAAGCCAGGGGCCAACTCTCCTGATGGAGCTGGCACTAAGGTGGGGAGAGGTTGGTGGGATGGCCAGTAAACACCGAGCACTAGCTGAGTGCACCTTACTCCCCCGCACCCCTGCAATGTGAATACACAATTCGGGAAGGGCCAGGGTTAACAGCGGCCGACAGCCCAACGATGGCCAGACTCTGCCTTCCAGAACTCAGCCCGACGCACGCACTGACTACGCTCTGGGACCACTAGCCAGGAGTTCCCAGCTGCAGCCCCGCTCACCTTGCACTTGAAGCCCGCGGCAGGCGGCAGTAGTTCCCGCAACAAGGCCTTAGCCACCTCGCGGCTGGCCTCCTCGCTCACGAAGTGCAGGTTAAGCACCTCATGAGCCTCGAACTTGGCGAAGCGCAGCAGCGAGCGCAGCGCGGCTCGGGCCTTGGCCTGCAGCGCAGCGTTGTGTTCCGCCTTGGTGAACATCATCAGCAGGTGGTAGTCCACCGGCCCGGCTCCCCCGCTCTCCAGGCTCTTGGCCTTGGCCCCGGGCGCCGGTGCTGCGGAACTGCGTGCCAGCTCCTGCGAGAGGGGCGAGGGCGCGGCGGGAGCCCCGGCGCGGGCCTCCTTCAGCCTCTTGGTGGCGCTGGAGAAGGTCTCCCTGCCGGAGCCCAGGTAGTAGAAGGCACAGACGGCGAGCGCCGCAGCCAGCAGCAGCGCGCAGTAGTGGGAGCGCACAGCGCCCAAGCGCACCATGGTCCGAGCGCATGGGGACCCGCCTTTGAGGAGACCCATGCGCTGCGCGCTGGCTCACCAAGCAGCCGCGGAGAGGCGACTGTGATCAGTACCCCGCCCGACAACTAGGAAGCCAAGCAGCTAGCAGCGGCCATGGCAGGGGGCAGGACCACGCTCAACAAACCCAATCCGAAGCCTCCGATGCGCAGAGAGGTGGCACCAGGGCGTGCGCTACAGCCGCTGGGTCCTAGATTCCGACAGATGCCCTGGATGGCCCACTCTTGTCCTAAGGCACCTCCAGGCTCAGGCGTCTGTCTAGAAGGCTGGAGGATTGTATTAAAAAAAAAAAAAAATCCTGTCAAGCCAGAGTTCCTAAACCCCACAGGACATCCTGTCAGAAAAAATACTTAATCCGGACACACAAAAATGGAAAACTTTTCATTTTTTCTCCCCACCCCGTTGCTAATTTTTTAGTCTTCAATCTCTTCTCCCCATTCCTTTCACTCATTGGAGACTAGCTGGGCTATAGAGTTTAACCGGGCAAGCTCCTCTTCCCATTCACGATAGTGATATCTGAGATTAAAATCGCCACTCTGAGACAGGCCTCAGCCCTCTCTGCTCTAAGTACGGAGTAATTCGGCAGACGTCTATTAACGCCAAAAAAACTTGCTGCCTTGGAGTCCGAGTAGGAGTGGGTTATGACTCATCCATTCGGTTTGCCAGGCTGTCAAATCATAAATGAAGGAGATAAACAACTTTCTCCCTAAGAGCTGATGGCGGACCCGAATAGCCATCACTCTCTTCAGGAGAGACCTGTTTGTTCTCTTGGCAGTCCATGTATGTTCAAGACTTCTCCAGCACCACAATTCAAAGACTTCAATTCTTCATCTGTCATCCTTAGTCACTGTTCAGCTCTCTGATACATTACATTAAGAACTTGGAACACTACCTGACACACACTGCTGACTGCAGGGCCTGAACAGGCCATTCTCACAACCATTGCTTGGCTTGAGCCCATTGCTACAGCGGCTCCCCTCTAACTCCTTGAGGCTCTACCTCTGCTTTTGACTCACCCAAGTATGATGTCCTCCTCCGGGTACTGGTCCGTCCTTCCAACATGTCCAAATGCATGGGACCCGCTAGAGCTCTTTCTAAAGCATTAAAGTTTGTTTTACAATGATCATATTACTCTGGTGGCGTCTGTAAGGAGTTGCTCTGCTAATTCAAAAGTCAGCCTCTCTGGCTGTTCAGATTCACCACCAGCTCTTAAGAAGAAAGCTGGGTTATCTCAAACCAGTTGGTTGAATTTCAGACTGTGAGTGGTAAACCGCTTTATTAGACTCTCCTTTTTACTACTGTTCTTTTCACCTGGAACAACACTTATTTTTGAGCAGCCCTGGACTTCTGATACTGGGCTAAGGATGGTGGGGGGACCCCAAACAAATAGCTTGAGAATTAGCTTGAGGAATAACTTTTACCTTCGTTCTAATCCTAGCAGCTCTGGGCGGTGAAAGCATCCTTCATTCCCATTTAGCAAAGAAACTGAAATTTAGGCAAATTGTCCAATACCATTGTTAGCAAGTAGCGAAAGTCAAAATCTGACTGTACTGTGTGTCTAAAGGCTAAGCTTTCAGCCAAGATTAGCTTTCAAAGCAGTAACTAATTTTCCAAGTGTCCACCAATTATACTGAGGTTATGAGAACAAACTGTGAAATGGACTGACCAGGTTGGAAGCTCAGCTCTGCAAGTTGTTAGACTTCACACAGGTTATTTAATCTCTGAGGCATCTCCCCTAGCCTGAGTACCCCGCCCTCGTTGAGCACTTGGCTGCTATTACTCAGACGGAAGATATGGGTGTCAGCTCCTATAGTCAGGTCTACTATGTCCTCTAAGGTCACTATGAGTAGGATTCAACTTGACAACAAGGAGTGTGATATTGCTTGTGCATTATAAACTTTTAAGAGACAGTGGATATGAAGTAGTTAGAATGGTGTCTAAAACTTAGCAAGTAGATCTATTTAAGTAAACTAGGTTAGATACTTCAAATGCTAAAACAAAACAAAAACAACAACAAACCAAACCCACACCAATAATCAAAAAACACCAGTCTAAATATGCCATATAAAAAAATTAGCGGCCATAGCTTTTCTGAATTCACAAATGCCAAACCCCAAATTTCCATATAAAATTTCATCACAACTTCCACAAACTCTCCACAGCAGTATGCCGCAGCTCTATTATTACATTCTAAATATCTTAAGGATTCTTTAGGCAGAATGTTGAATGACTCAGGAAGCATCAAATGAAGCTAGAAGGAGTACACAGAGGCACCAAAAAGAATTGGCCAACACAGAAGAATTTAATTAAACAACATATGATCAAGAGGCAATGGTGATGATGGAGGAAGTTCAGGCTACTCTAAAGGAACTGGCAAAAAACCAAGGCTCTAGGAATTGATGGTATATCAACTGACATATTTTAACAAACAGATGCTGTCCTGGACATGCTCACCAGTCTGTAGCAAGAAATCTGGGGGACAACTACCTGGCCAACTGGCTGGAAGAGATCCATATTTATTCTCATCCCCCCCCAAAAAAAGGTGACCTGACAGAGTGTGGAAATTATTGAACAATACCATTGCTTTCACATGCAAGCAAGATCCTGCTGAAGATTATCTAAAAACTACTGGAACAGTACATTAACAGAGAACTACCAAATGTACAAGTTGGGTTTAGCTAAGGCCTTAGCACTAGGGACACTATAGCCAGTATTAGATGCATGTTAGCTAAAAGCAGAGAGTCAGAGGAATGTGAGTGTTTCACTGACTACACAAATGCATTTGACACAAATTAATCACAATAAATTATGGCTAACCTTGAGAAGAATGGGAATCTCAGAACACTTGATTGTCCTTATGCAAAACCTAAACTTGGATCAGGAGGTAGTCTTCAGAACAGAATGAGAATACACTGCATGGTTCAAAATCAGGAAAGGTGTGCACCAATGATGTATTTTCCCTCCATTTTTCAATCTCCATGTGGAACAGATCATTCGGGAGGCTGGAGTCTATGAGGAGGAATGTGGCATAAAGATTGGGGGAAGACTCATCAAAAACCCGTGTTATGCAGATGACACAACCCTGCCTGTTGAAACTGAGAAGGATCTGAGATAGTCAAAGACTTCAGTCTTTAATATAGATTGAAGCTCAACATCAAGATAACAAAGATTCTCACTACTGGGCCAATTAGCAACATCGTCATAGATTGAGAGAGAGTGATACTGTTAACAATTTCTGCTTGCTTGGATCCACAATCAACACTTTTGGTACCAGCTGTCAGGAAATCAAAAGACAAATTGCTTTGGGAAAACGTGCTGTCAGGGACCTCTCCAGAGTGCTGAATAGCAATGATGTCAGTCTAGAGACTAAGGTGTGCCTGATCCAAGCCATGGTCTTCACAATTACTTAGAATGCATCAGAGAGCCAGACAATGACTAAGGATGACAGAAGAATGGATGCCTTTGAGTCATGTTGTTGGAGAAGATTACTGAACATACTATGACCTGCTAAGAGAACAAATAGGTCTGTCCTGGAGAGGGTGAAACTGAACTGCTCCTTGGAGCCAAGGATTTTGAAGCTCCCTTTCCCATACTTTGGGCATGTGGCCAGGAGGAACCAGTCTTTGGAGAAGGACATCATGCTTAGAAGGGTGGAGGGACAGCGCAGTAGAGGAAGACCCAAGATGAGATGGATTAACTCAGTGACTGGAGTAATGAGGGCAGGTGGGTCAGAGACAATGAAATTTCTCAGGATAGGGTAGGGTTCAGAGCTTTTATATTCTGGGCTGCTGAGAGTCTCAGGCAACTTGATGGCACATAACAACAAGAGTAAGGAATAAATAATTTTAGAACTCTGCCTTTTATACCCTTATCTACATCACTGAGAAGGTGACTTTTCTTCTCTAACACTTATTCTAGAAATTATTTAACATTTCATATTTCAGCTTCCTATATCATCTAAAAAATCTACTAGAACAGTGCATTGCCAGAGAACGGCCAGAAGGTCAAGTTGGGATTAGAAGAGGCTGGGGCATCAGGAACATCACCGCTGAAGTCAGATGGATCCTGGCTAAAAGCAGTGGATATGAGAAGAATATCTATTTGTGCTTTATAGACTATGCAAATGTGTTTGACTGTGTGGATCATCACAAATTATGTTTGGAACAGTGAGAAGAATGGGAATCCCCAAACACTGAATTTTGCTCATGTGAAACCTTATACCTAGACCAAGGGGCTACTGTGCAAACAGAGGAAGGGAGCACTGTTGCTACTGTTAGATGTCGTTGAGTCGAGTAGGACTCCTAGTGACCCTATCATCAGGCCTGAACTCTGTCCTATCCTGTGCCATTCTCAGCATCTCTTACATGGCTTAAAACTAAGAAAGGTACTTACAGTCAGAATCAATTCATAGCTGATTCTCTATTGCTTTTCCAAGGCTATAGATCATGTGGGAAAACATCGCTCATCTTTCTTAGAAGCCACTGGTTAATTTCAACTCCTCAACAGGTTTGAATTGCCCAGCAATTTCCTATGGACTCAACGGATGACAGGCCTGAGCAAAAAAAGTCATATATGTTACTGAACAATTAGGTCAGTCAGAAGAAAGCAAACAATGCCATCAATTCATCTATATGAAATGAGCAAGACCAGTATGTAACAACCAGTGAGTATTAGAAGTTACCACGGGTGGAAGAATAGTTCAAAGGGAAAGTTTTTGCTTAGGAGACACTGAGTTTACGTTAATGATAGTGATGGTGAAATAACCTGGGGAAAAAAAGATTGTAACAGTGGTTGCCGAACTTGAAGAATATAATCAATGTCACAGAATTATATTTGTAGACAGTACTGGGGGGCAAGAAAATCCAGGGGAATACATTTCTACTTTTACACACATTGGATCACTATGAGTCCATGTGAGCGCTACAGCTGCTGGTTTGTTTATTCATATAATGAGATAACATAGGCAGTTACAATTAAGAGCTGGTGAATGCATGCCAAAAAAG